ATATAATTAATAACCATTTTCTGTTTTTTTCCATATTTTTCGAAAGTGAATAAATTGTTCAGTTGTGGTTATTAAGGTTTGTTCAGTTTGTTATTCAGTACGTTATTAACTTGTTGTTGATATTTTGACAATCTTTTCTGATTTATTTTAGCATTTGAGTTAAATTCAAAAAATAACAGTTTCTACTTTCTCCTTAAAGACAGTAAAATAAGTGTAATGCTATACACTGCCATATTATCCTTATATTTATGTTTATAAATGGTAATGTCATGTTTTTAATTTACTTTGACAAACATATTTATGTTAAATGTTATTTTTTTGTTGTAATAAGTTTAGTTGGTTGAATTATTCAAAAGAAAACAATACATTCTTAAAATTTTAAATAGTCTTATTCATAACTTGTATTAAATCAAAACACTTCTATTACTGTTTTTCTACGATTGAACAATAAGGAAAAATATGTATAGTATTAGTTATTTATTTAATATACATGTATTATGGGTTGTTTATAACGCTTAATATTACAAACTGATCAATTACTCCATAATAATTTTCATTTAAAGACATAATGCTATTTTAAAAAAAAAGATAAAAAAGAAAATGAATAAATAAAGATAATTTTAACATTTATGAAAAATTCAATATTTTAATTTTAAAGGGGGTTGATTTTTATAAAAAGGTATTTATTTAAATTACAATTATAATGTCTAACAAAGGAGTTTTTCTTTTATTTTTCATTCAGTTAGTCTTCAATGATTTCCAAAACGACAAAAGAATGCAGTTTTTAAGAAATTTTGGTTAAAATAGGAATATTCAGGTTTCAGTTTTTGTGAAAACATTCATGAAACCGTATATTAAAGATGTTTAGTGGGTGTTAGTGATAAAAAATGGAAAACAATTGATTTTTTAAAAAAATGTTCTTGTTCCAAGACATAAAAAAAATTTTTGAGAATTGGCTCTGCAGAGATTGACCTATTAAATCTCTCAAAACAAAAAAACAAATCAATAGAAATGAACGTGACCATTGAACAAAATAATGATATTTCTAATTACTCTATTACTTATGAATCTGAGAAAGTAAAAAAACAAAGAAAAGCTGGTATTGCTTGGAGGAAAGAAGAAGACCAAAAATTACTTCGTGGTGTAGAAATGTTTGGAGAGAAAAGTTGGGTTGAGGTTGCTAAATTTGTAGGAACAAGATCACGAAAACAGTGCAGAGAACGGTTTATTAATCATATTGATCCTGGAATAGATAAAAGACCATGGAGCTCAGAAGAAGATGAAATGATTATTCGAGGATATTATCATCATGGGAGTAAATGGAGTGAAATTAGCAAAAAATTATCTGGAAGAACTGCTCGTGCTGTAAGAAACAGATATAAGGCATTATCTCTTAGAAATAAATTATCTTGTTTCATTGTAGCAGACCAAAATTTATTTAAAGTTATTAATGGAGGTTCTACTTGGTAGTTATGATAAAAATTTTAAATATCTTGTTGATTTGTTAAATAAACTAAACTTCATTAATAAATTTCTATTGAAGGTTCTATTTCTTAAAAACCTCAGAATGGTTTTCATTTAATTTCAAAAACTTTATTTTTAGAACTTTCTTATAAACTTTTTTCAAAATCATTGTGGCTTCATATTTAGTTATTGTAGTATTTACACTAATTGTATTTAATCCAAACTTGTTATTTGTATTTATTCTTAAATTTATTCATTATTCTTTAACTAGAATTTATTCATTTTTTATCTAGTTTTTCTTTAGAGAACATCTACTATATTTAAATGACCTTATTTATTTCCACCACCATTTTTATGTAAAAAAAAAATAAAAATCTTTTATTATATATGGTATGTCAATGACATTTTCAATACTGTTTTTATCATCATTAAAATTGAAATTGATACAAAACTTTAGTAATAAAAGATTAAATACAAACTTAACGGAAGAGAATAATGTTAAACATATTTAATTTGTTTCGGTTTTGATTAATTACACCATTTATATTAATTGAAATTATAATAGAAAAAAAGGTTAGTCTAATAAATAGAATTATTCATACAATGAATTAAATAGAATATTGTTATAAAATAGAAATCGTGTTAAAATAAAATGAAAGTTACTGAAGGAATTAAATGTTATAATAACTGTTCAAAGATAAATAAAAGATTTATTCAGGTTTCTAAAATTAATATATTTTCAATCCATTTCAATTGAACCAATGGAATAATACGTAGAAATAGTAAATATATTATTTTTAATTGCAGTAGGAAAGTGAGTTGGAGTAATCATCGTTCTAGATAAATTTATTATTGAACATAATGGAACAAATTTAAATGTACAAGAATAAAACAAACTTATAACATTGATGTTTATTAATAACAATAAAACATATTTTTTTATTGTTAAATCTTCATGAAATGAACCTGTATATTTAAAGTCCTTTCAATTGGTCTATGATGTTATAAACTTAAATATAAAAGAAATAAAAATCCAATTATTTTCTGTTGTAATTCACCGTAAATAGAATAAGTTAAACTCCTATCACTTTAGTTAAAATAACATATTGAAGATATTTTTTTAGTAGCTGAATTGAAAATGGATAAGTAAACATCGTTTATGCAACTTCTTTTATAGACATTTGTTATAATTACGAAGTTATTCAAAAACTAAATATTTAGTAGTATAAAAACAACTTTATCATAACAAGTTTTCTTTTCAGTTTTTTGTGTTTTGTCTTTTTTATTGAAACTTTCATTAACCATATTTCTTTGCGTATAAAATTCATGGTTCATTCATTTTACAATAACAAAAACTCCTTCTACAAATGTTTGACTATTCATAGAAACTGTTACCAAACCATTAACATATTCCTCTAACATATATCCATGGTGAGTTATAATAATAGAAATTTCTGACGTATTAAAATGAAATAAATAAACTCTACTTATTCAACCTTATTTTCTAAATGAAATAAGTTAATGAATAACTCAAAATATTGAATGTTCTATTACAGTAGGAAAGTAATAACAAAATAATAATTATAACAAAAATAGAATGAAAAAAAAAATCATTATGAACTTTTGTTATTTGAACATAACAAAATCAAGAAAAATAAACTACTAAAATTAATTTGCCATTGCATCAGAAGAAGAAATTCCATCCATTGGTACTTTAACAACTGCAGGGATATCTGGTGCGTCTGATTCAAACCATTTAAAGAAAGAATTAATAAGATTATGTCTTGTAGAACAGAATAAGATGTAATTATGATACAATTTAAATAAGAATAAAGAGAAGACAAATCCAATATAAACGTCAGCAATATAATGCATTCTATTAGCAATATATAATATAAAGCATCCAATAGTAATTATCCACATAATTAATTTAATTAATGTCATTCTTAGTGGATATCCATATGGAGTAGAATTAGGTGTATCCCCTAATAAATCAAATTCAATAATCGGTGCTTTATGTGAGTAATGGTGCCATAGACATGCACAAATAACCATACTTGCTGCATTACCACTAAACATCATATCACATTCAACTCGATGAATTCCTAATAAGACTAAAAACCCTTCAACAAAGACATTAGAAGTGTTGACAGTCGATGGTCTACCTGAAGGGTCTGGAAGGATAGTAGTAAACACACATAACCCACGAATAAAATAAATAATTCCTTGAAGGAAAAAGTATCTTCTTAATATAACCCAACGATAAGGAGTAACAAAAAATCTAAGTAAAGTAAATCCAATAAAAATTGCAGCAAGAATTTCTGGTAATAAAATAATATTTATCTGTGGTAAAATATCAAATGCAACATCAGCAATAACTATTTCATCATTCACTTGAGGATGTGTTTTTGCCCATTTTTCAAATCTTTTTTGTGTCAATACTTGAAAAATACCATTCCAATAGCCACAAATGACCATAAAGACAAATGACCATAAGAATGGATGTGTAATAAATTTAATTATTTGTTTTAATGGTTGTTTAAATAATCCAATAATAAGCTCTTTTAAATCTTTAAATGTATCAACAATACATAGAGCTCCTCTTGCTGGAAAATTACAATTAGGAAGTAATAAACAAATTTCATTGTTTTGTGTTGTTGGTATAGCCATATTTTCAATGAATCTTTGTTATTTAAAGTTTTTGATATAATTTATTTTTATTATAACTTAATAGTAAAATAAGTTATTTCTTGTTTAGTTTCTTCTTCAAGCTATGTCAATTCCCCCTTTTCTTCTTTATCTTCACTTTTTTTATTACTTCCAAACTAGAAAAAAAGAAAATTGTAGGTAAAAAAGTCATTTGTAATAATGCCAACATAACATTCAAACTAGTTATTCATCATCTTCTTCCTCTTCTTCCTCCTCCTCTTCTTGGTCATTTAACCATTCGATGAACTCTTTAGCTTTTTGTTTCATTGGAGACATTTGGACAGCACCACCATCATACCATTCTTTCATAGCAGATTTGATCACATAACCATTATTATATAAGTATAACAAAATATTAAGTAAACGAGGGTCATTATACAATTTATATTTTGCACATGCAACGTTGAATTCTTCTAAGAATGAAATCATTCCTTGAGGATTTAATTCATCTCCTAAGAACAAATCAAAGAAATCAATTTGTTCAGCAAAGTTATCAAACATATTTGCATCAAAAATAATTTCAAACATCTCTCGAATTAATGTCTTTGTACTCAAATTATAACAATGCTTATATCCTCCAATAAGAGCATTAAGTCTATTTCCTGGATGTCCTTCATTAATAATTTTCTTTAAATCGAAATCTTTACCAACAATGCTAAGTTCTTCTTTTTCTCCATTTTTAAGTTTTAATGTGATTTTAACTGTTCTTTTATCAAATGGATTTTCTTTAGTTTCAACAACACCTTCATTAGTTTGTTCATCGTCTTCTTCTTCTTCTTTCTCATGTTTTGGAGGATGAATAAATATAAATTTCAATAATTTTTCATTCTTAGGAACAACAGTTGCTTCACCACAAGCTTTACAATGTAATGTAAGTGTTTTATTTTTAACAATCATAACAGTTTCTGGATTTTCACATTTCTTACATAAAACAAATTTATCAATGAATTTATCTAATACATTCATAAGATCTTTATATTCATGTTTACCATTAATAATATATTTTCCTGAATCAGTATTAGTAGCTGCTGCAAGTGAAATACCAAAATATCTACACAAATATGATGCTGGTCTATCCAACGCATTTGCAATATCCTCACAATTAACAATAACTGTTTTAATACCATTTCCTTTACCTTCAATTTTATGAATTAAATCTGGCATTTTATAACGGTAGAACTCATCAGTCTTTCTTCTTGGGACATTTAACATTCTGACTTTCTCACTCATTTTCTACTTCTTTCTTTATTTTTTTCAAGTTCTGCCCTATTTTTCTTTCTTCGTTTTGTTTTTTCTTTTTTTACTTCTTTTCTTTTTTTTAGGTTTTGTTTATTTTACTATTCCTTTTTAATTATTTTATTATTAAAATATAATAAAAATTGGTCTTTGAAAGAGTAATAAATGAACGATTTAGTTTCTTGGGTATTAGTCATTATGTTGACTTCTTTGAGAATAACTTCTTGAATTACTTCTTGACCTACTATATGAACGTCTTCTAGAACTACTTCTTGATCTACTTCTTGATGAATATCTTCTTTTATAACTAGTACTTTTACGATATCTTCTTCTTGAAGGTGATCTGCTTCTACTATTTGGTGATCTACTTCGATTCCTACTACTTGGTGACCTACTTCTACTATTTGGTGATCTGCTTCTGCTGTTTGGTGATCTACTTCTACTATTTGGTGATCTACTTCTACTATTTGGTGACCTACTTCGATTTCTACTACTTGGCGATCTACTTCTCGAACGTCTTCTTCTAGGCCTATTTCGTTCATACCTTCTTCCTGATTGCCTAAAACTAAGTAATTTTCTTTTCATTATTACTTAAAAATAAAATCACAAACTTCGGACAATTACGAGCAATATGTCCTTGTTGATGACAAATATAACATTCTTTATTTGAATTATTCTGTTTGCTAAGTTCAATATTAATTTTTTTATCACGGAACATAAAAGGAGTTGTTTGAGATAAATCGATTATTTTTTTTGCATCTTCTTCTGTTTCACAAACCTACTTGTTATTTTTTTTTATTTTTTTATAACACAAAAACATACAACAAAACAAAATCCAGTTTTAATATCAATACGCTCAATCTTTGTGTATTTACTAAACATTTCTCTTACATCAGACTCTCTCATTTCCGATGGAAAACGTCCAAGAAACAACTTTCTATTTCCCTCCATTAAGTTTCTTTAGTTGTTTTTTTTTAAGTTCTTTTTAAGTTTTTTTCTTCTTTTTTTAATTTTACATAAATTTTTAGGTTTATTTATTTGTGTGATAAATAACATTTTTTAGCGAAGAAAAAGTGATATTTAAGGATGGAATGAATGTATTATTACTAAAGTTAATTTTCACTCTTTTACCAATTATCCATTTTAACAAGTGGATTTATTATTAAAGTCAGTTGGTTAAATTCAGTTTTCAACCAAAAAATAAACAACAGTATAAATGCACATACAAAAAAGATGAGGAGAATCGAAGGTTTTTAATAGATTTGAACAAAAAAAAACCAAATAAAAATAAAACCAAGAGAAATAAAAATACGTGGTAACCAAAAAAGTGAGATAAAAAAAAGATGAATCTAATTTAAGAAAATTCAAAAAGTGTTTAAAATAATAACAATATAATAAAAAAGCTATGGAAGAAAAAAAAAAATTAAAACAACGAGAAAACGGGAAAAAGCAAATTAATTTAATGCTAAAATAAGAAGAAATAAGATCTAGATCAAACCCTTAAAAAGAAAAAAAAGGAACTTAAAAAATAAATAAAAAAAAACATGACTATGAGACCAGTGAAACTTGTTATCGTCGGTGATGGTGCCGTCGGTAAAACTTGTATGTTAATTTCATATACAACAAATGCTTTCCCAAATGAATATATTCCAACAGTCTTTGAAAATTATAATTCATCATTGGTTGTTGATGATGTTAAAATTAATCTTGGATTATGGGATACTGCTGGACAAGAAGATTATGATAGATTAAGACCATTATCATATCCATCAACTGATGTATTCCTTGTTTGTTTCTCTGTTATTGCTCCAGCTTCATATGAAAATGTTGAAGGTAAATGGAAACCAGAAATTGATCAACACTGTCCAAATGTACCAATTATTCTTGTTGGAACTAAAATTGATATTAGAGATGATCCAGAACAAGTTAAACGTTTAGCTGAAAAGAATATTGTCCCAATTCAACCTCCTCAAGGAGATGAATTAGCAAAGAAAATTGGTGCTGTTAAATATATTGAATGTTCTGCTTTAACACAAGCCAATCTTAAACTTGTTTTTGAAGAAGCTGTCAGAGCTGTTCTTGCTAAAGCTGCTAAAGAGCCAACTGGAAAGAAAGAAAAAGGAGGTAAGAAAGGATGCTCATTATTCTAATTTCACTTTTTAGTTGATAAATTGAAGAAGTTGTTATAAAAGAAAATATATTTTTTTGTAAAAAATAGAAAATAAAAGAAGGAAAGAATTGAATTTAAAAAATCGAACAAAATCTTCTTTTTGAAGGTTGTGGATTTACTGGATTTGAAACATTCACATTATCTTGTGACATTTCATTATTTGAGACTGTTGGAATTTTTGAACGTTTTGTTGCTTCAACAAATAGTTCTGTTACGTCTTACCAATGAATAAATATTATAAAAAATCTTAATAATAACAAAAAAAAAATAACAAACTCTGTCCTGTTTTTGCTGAAACTTCAAAAAATAAAGCATTGTGTTGGTCTGCAAATGATTGACCATCTGATGTTTGAACTTCTCGAGTTGCTTCAAGATCAATTTTATTACCCACAATTGCAACAGAAATATCACTTGATGCTACTTTCATTAAATCAGTATACCATCCTTCAAGTGATTCAAATGATGATCTTGATGTAATATCATAGCAAATTAATGCTACTGTAGCACCCCGGTAATACATTCCTACCATTGAACGATACTTTTCTTGTCCAGCTGTATCCCAAATTACAATTTTTACATTATTCCCATCAATAGGAAGATATGTTGTTACAAATGATGCACCAATTGTTGATTTTTCATCTGGTTTAAATGAACCATCAACCAGCCTTCCTGAGACACAAGTCTTACCAACACTTTGATCTCCAATAACAACAATTTTTACTGCATCTTGGGAAGATTGCATCGAATTATTTTAATTTAAAGTATTTTAGTTCTTTTTTTTTTAATTTTTATTCAATTCGTTTTTTTTTTCTTTTTTTGATACAACAAATCTTTTTTTATTCATCGTTTCTTAGATTTTATTTTGTTTGCTCTTCAAATCTTTATTCTTTCTTTGGTTGTTACGTTTATTGATTCGCAGAAGCTTTTTATTAGTTTTTATTCTTATAAAAATTAAAATATTTTAATAAAAAGTTAAATTATTCAATTAGATA